ATATACTGTTTTTTTTTTCTCACCTTTCAGTTGAGGTATCTGGTCATGCAGATAGGTTTTGGTTTAAAATGTGATTAAATTTAATTAAATGTAACAGTTGTGTGGCTTTAGGAAAAAGAATATTACAACTCTTGGATAATTCACCACAAAATTATGTACAGAAATTCATGTTCCCAAGACAATGAGGCTTACTGACTTTGGTGATCCCCTGACTTTTCCTCTAGCGTGACCGCTGCGTTGACACTTTTCGTGAACTTTGCGATGGTGCGAGCAGCACAGAGGAAATTCCATTCACCTCCACTGTCCTCGGGTGAGGGCAGCATTCTCTCTCAAAACCTGGACAGGAAAGTGAGAAAATATGTTTGTTGTAATTTAGATCCTTTAAGCGACTAACTCATCATTAATTAGTAGCATTTGTCCGTGCCCTTTACACTGTGATCAGTATTTTTATCACAGTTTGTGTGAGTTGGACAGATGTGATTTTCTGAGACCATACCCCCTTACTAGAATTTTACTAGAACTGTCTTTATCATTTATTGATTGTTTATCCTCCTTGCTTCAGTCAAAGGCAGTATTACAGGTTGACAGGGCTGAGAGGTGTGTTTGATTAAGGCATCATTTTTATTTTGGCTGTTGTGGAAAATGATGGTGTCTCTGTGCACACAGCTTCTTGATTTATATATCTACCAAAATGCAATTAAACAATTGCTCACAAAAAAATGTATTTGGGTTCAGATATTTTACGACATGTTTCACGTTGCTTTGACAATCAGGATTTCATGTGAATTTTGAAACTGCAGACTTCTAAGTTGCTTTCAACCTTTGTAGACATGTGTTTAGCTGTTAGTTCAATTTTAAAATCCCTTTTACTCGTGGTGTTTAAATTATTTGTCAGCCTCCTGTAACTAATTTAAAGGCTTCCTGACTCGTCAGCTTTTTTAATTTCCTGACTCTTCAGTATCTTCCTCTGTAGCATATTCTGACATGATGTAAACCACACAGTTTAATGTTTTTTCCACTGGAGATGTTGGTTCCCCCACCTCTCTGTCATAACTGCTGGTTCTGCTGCTAGCATGGAATATTTGATGCTCTGAGGTAAAGGGCCCTTGAGTATTGTATTTCAGGTCATCCATTACCATAATTGCTTTTACCCACCAAGTAGGCTTTCCTTATGCAACCTGCGTTTAAATGTTTAATTACATTGTTTTGAGGTAACAAACTTTGTAACTGCTTTTGACAGGACAGGTTTGTTGTTTAAAATGTAAAATAAAACGCAGCTTGTGCTGTGTGCAAACAATAGATTCAGCTGCTTTCAGAGACCTAATTCTGTAAGTAAGAAACCGTGGCAGAGTGGAGTCACAGCTTGCGTTTCCGTGTCTACATTACACTCACTTGGAAAGCTGAATAAGACGAGCTGTGGTTAGAGTTACACACTTCTCTGACACATGTCAGTTTGTTAAAGGAGCTCGGTGTCACTCATTTGATATGAACAACTGCCTCTGAAAATTTAATCCATGTGTTTTCTGTGTTTGGGGGAAACTTTGATTGTAGCTTTTAAATAAATATAAATGAGCTGCGGAGGCTTTGTGGGACAGTTGTGCCGTTTGTTCGGGGACATGTGTTAGCTGTAGCTTGCTCTGTTTATGTTGTTATGTGTCAGATCACTGACAGCTGATATTTCTTGTACAGTGGCTGTTGGACATATAATTGGCTCAGAGGCTCTAATGAGTGCACAGTGTTTGCCATTGTGGGTTCAGTGAAGTTTGTGTGTTAAAGCCTTTAAAGCTGTCAAACTGTAGTATGTGGAGCATTCATGTATGTCTGGGTGAAAAGTTGCAGCACACAGCATTATTGATTTTCTGTGTGCTTTCTTTGTCCTTGAGTTGAACATGTTGAATGGGAGCTTTCTTTTCAATGTGAGAAATATGACTATTTCAGCGATTCTATTTTATGTAACATATCAGTGCTAAATTTACAATCTAGGTCACTGATCCCATTAGCCCTCCAGAACTGGGACAGTTTTTTACTTCTATAATGAGAAATTCCAAATTAAACTAAATGGAGACTAGTTGGCAAGATGCCGAGTCGTGATGTGTGCCTCCAGTGTGTGCTGAGCATTTTATTTCTCATAGAACTAAAACTGATGTTTGACTGATAAATCAACATATCAAGTATATTTCATACTTAAGCAGCCAAGGGTCTGCATGAAAATTATTTGGGTGTGAAGGGGGCTGAACTTTATGTTTGACTGAACTTTATGTCTCAGGGTTCTTTATATTTGGCTTGGACCTTGCCTTTGACATTAAATATGGCAACACCCACCCCTGTAAATTTAAGCCCTAATTCAAGCTTAATATTTTAATGAAACCATTTTTACATACCCAAATCACAGATAAGGAGTTGAATTTGAAGTTCATAAATTATGAAAAACCTGATAAACAAACGGTGCATTTTATTTACCAAGCACTCCAGCTGCTTTCTATTTCTGAACCAAGAGCTACTACACAGTCATTACCAGTGTTACTGAATAAGTGAAAGGGGCACATGCAGGCGAGGGGCTGTTGTTCTGTAATGATACAGAATAAAGGGAAGGCAACACTTTACAGAGATAATGTTCAATCACTACATCCACTGTTTCTCAAATCTGACATGTTGGCCGGGCTAGAGACTAGAAAATGAAGTCCTGATGCAGAGACATGATTGTTGTTGCTCTACATATGGCAGAATGGACTGTGAGCCTCTTGCAGTAAAATCTGCAAAAAAGGATGAAATAAAATATAAATCTGGGACATGAAAAATTTAGATCTCCTCTTGCTCTCCCAAAAATTTCAGACCACCCTCCTTTCAGCAAAAATGAGGAAAATAACTTTCCCCCATTTCCTTTCCACCTCTGCCCCTATTAATTTCTGTACAGTCCCTAAGTTTAAAAAAATGTATATTCAATTTTTCCTCACTAGTCTTCATGGTTAATGCAGGCAAGTATTTGTGGAGCACACAAAAGTCACTGAAAATCCCAAACTGCACACTTTAAAGATGAGCTGAGCTGACAGATGAACTGACCTGAGCACAGTCCCGGTCGCAAGGATGCTAAACTGTAAGCAAAAAACATTGTATGTGAATATTTTCATTTTAAATCCTAAGAAGTCACAGGACATCGTATAATTGATTACCAAGCATATGAGGGAGGTTTGTGACAAAATGTAATCATGTGCAGTTTTTCTTTCCTCTCCTTTAGAAAGGCTTCTGCTATCATGGCAAAAAAACAGCCACGAGGAAACCTCACTTATTTTTGCTGACAGCAACATTTTGTGAAATATCTACTGCCAGTTGTGATGGCCTGTACACAGGCAGAGGACACTGAGGTGATTGAGTGGAAAGAACAGGAGCAGCTGTGGAGGAATATCAGTGTGGCGTGTCAGAGAGAGGAATTATTTGACAAATGTAGGGGAAGCTAATACAGTTTGATAGTATTTAATCTGCAACGCGCACCGGTTCCCGTAAAGCTCTGTGAGAGGGGTAAGACTGAGATAGTGTATCTACAGCCATAAGCATGATCAGGGATCACTGTGAATTAGCCGGCGATGGTGGTCATGGGCTGAGCCATTAGCTCAGGGTGAATACACCGTGCAGTGAATCTTTTGAGAGAAGATGACTGCAGATTGGATTTAAAGTGATGAAGAAGAGGGAGGGGAAGAACAAGAGGAGGGACCAGCAGCAGCAGCAGCAGCAGCAGCAGCAGAGGTGACCATGTGAGGAAGCTACAGTGAATGACGGAGGATGAGGTGGAGAAGAGTGATGAGGGGTGTTGAAATTCACCCATGCTGAAATCCCCAGTGAAATGGCCTACCTTCTGGTCGGGGTGGCCAGGCGATCGGAACCTAATGCTAATGTGGAGGTGGCAGATGTTCTCATCAGTATAACGCTTTGAAGTTGAAAATGCCACTGCATGCTGCTAATCTAACACTTATTTTTTTTATTCAGGGAGTCTGAAAGTAATGAGGGAAACAGAGTAAGGGGGACATACATGGCAGAATTCAGTCCCAGAGTAATAGTCAAACATGTGCACACAGACTATTAAGCCTATTTAGTACAAATTGCATACTTTACATTATATTATTGCCATTAATTATAGAATTTTAGAGTTTTTAATTATTTTTATTAGGTCTGCAACAAATTGTTTTCATTATCCATCTGCTGATTCATCGTTTAGTCTGAGATGTCCATCATAACTTCTTGTTTTGATCAAAAGTCCAAAACCCTAACATATTCAGTTGACAGTGACAAAGAGAAGCAGTAAATCCTCCCAGTTGAGAAGTGGGAACTAGAGACTATTTGGCTTTTTTTTGCAATTTTTAGAATGCCTGAAATAATTAATTGATTATCAAAATACATCGATTAATCAATTAGTCAGCTCACATTTTGAGTTACTTTCTGCCTTCCAGAAAAGCTGTTACAGCCTTGAAACTTGAGGTAGGTAATTTATCACAATGGTTTTCTCACCATACAGACATAAATATGAATAAATGGTTACTACAAGGCAGGAAAACCACCTGAAAAATGAAAACACCATGGTATACTTTGGAAAATGCATTCTGAAAAATAGAACTATTTCAGTCTTTCAACATTCATCCCATACCCTTATATCATGGTTCATTTTTGGCTTTGAAAGATCATACCGTCCGCCCTTTATCATATTAGTCATTTTTTAATCTTTTTTTTTCCTCCAAATGTTCTGAGCACAGTTACTTGAATACATTTTATACTGTGGAACATGGTCAGAAATATTGTATGTATATATATATATGATTTGTCTAAAATGGAGAAGAAATTACTATGGTCTTTAAAAAGTGTGATTCAAAAATGTGATTTAATGACCCGAGGCTATTTGTGACTTATTGTTTAATGGGTTTAATGATTTCCTGCAGCTTGCTGTGTCACCATGATGAAAATGTTAGCTGGCTTTTACCCTCCATCAGCCTCACTGTGCCCTTTCCTTACAGTTATTTATGGTGGACAACGCAGCCGATGACTGGAGGATAGCCATGACATATGAGCGCATCTTCTTCATCTGCCTGGAGATCCTGGTGTGCGCCATCCACCCCATCCCAGGGAACTACACCTTCACCTGGACCGCACGCCTGGCCTACTCCTACGTGCCATCCAAGACGGATGCGGATGTGGATATCATCCTGTCCATCCCCATGTTCCTGCGGCTGTACCTCATCGCTCGTGTCATGCTGCTGCACAGCAAGCTCTTCACGGACGCCTCATCCCGCAGCATCGGTGCACTCAACAAGATTAACTTTAACACACGCTTTGTGATGAAGACCCTCATGACCATCTGTCCTGGCACTGTGCTGCTGGTCTTCACCATCTCGCTGTGGATCATTGCTGCATGGACTGTGAGAGCTTGCGAGAGGTGCCTGGATCAGTTTCTCACGCTATGCTGCGCTGCTCAGCATGAAACATAGATAAGGAGTAAAAATAGATAATGTACACACTTCTAAGCTCAGTCTGTGTCTGAGCATTAAGATAGAAAGATTTACACACAGTGTAAGAAAAGATTATAGCCCTATGGTACTCTGAAATGTAATCTCATAACCTACATTGGATTAAATCCTAATTCTTTCTTCTTTTTTTAAAATAAGAATTAGTCATTAGAGAAGCTGAAGTGCATCAGTTTCTGCAGGTGCTTTAAGGTTGGTCAACCTGTTGTATTTATTATTTATTGCAGGTACCACGACAACCAGGACATAACCAGCAACTTTCTAGGAGCCATGTGGTTGATCTCAATCACGTTTCTTACCATTGGATATGGGGATATGGTCCCTAACACATACTGTGGGAAAGGAGTCTGCCTCCTGACTGGCATTATGGTGAGAAAAGCAGACTTCAGTTTTTTTCTTTGCCAGTTTGTGAAACTGTTGAAAGACAGGAATACAGGAGGCCTTATCATTTGTGTGACTAATATGCTGCTAATATTCAATGACAGGAAAAAATAGTGGACAAGCAAATGAAATAAGTAAAAATCCACATTGTGCAATTGTGCCTGTCCATTCTTGTTATTTCACAGGGTGCTGGCTGCACTGCTTTGGTGGTGGCTGTGGTTGCAAAGAAACTGGAATTAACCAAAGCTGAAAAACATGTCCACAATTTTATGATGGACACCCAGCTAACAAAAAGAGTAAGTGAGCACTCCACATTCAGTTATTTGACATCACAGATATCTGCATTCTTAACCAAACATGTCCTTTTTTGGGGCACCTTAGGTGAAAAACACAGCTGCGAATGTTCTCAGGGAGACATGGCTCATCTACAAGAACACCAAACTGGTGAGGAAGATGGACCACGCCAGAGTCAGGAAGCACCAGAGGAAATTTCTCCAAGCCATTCACCAGTAGGTACCACGCCATTAACCCTGATCTCGCCAGTCATGTTGGTTTAATATCTTCTTATCCAGCAGTGTATTTACATGATTCACCAATGCTACACGAACCTGAAATCTGAATTGTTTGACACCTGTAGCAAAAATATTTTGCTCATACCATTGCAAGATCTTTGTGTATCATGACCATGTTTCACCTGGCTTGACTAACTTTAAATTTGCAGATGTGGTAAAGTGTTGGCCTGTTGATTCAGCATCGTAACGAATGGTAAAATATGCAGGGGACTAAATTTATGCAAATATTATTCACTGATACACTAGAGGTTCTTGTAATTCATTTATTTTTAAACAGGGTAGGAATTGCCAGCATGAAAGAGACATATCTTATCTGTGTAAAATGGTGTTTTCTCTGAATGAGATTTGGAAAAATTTCCATTTTCCCAGAGTTACTGCAGAAACAGTGAGTTTTTCAGCAGCCACAGTTTCATAGAAGTATTCCCGAAAAAAACAAAAAAAAAAACAACTAATTTTACCTTGAAATATTCCCAAGTTACAGAATTCACAGCAGTATGATATTGATCTCGCTCTCTCTTACCCCCTCTCTCTCTCTCCTCTTGCTGTCAGATTGGCTTTTGTGTGTCTCTCACTGTGAGTCAGATGTCAGGCTGACCTCAGGGCTGATACATGTGGGTTTCTACTTTTCTAGCGGCTGGTCAGACACTTACCTGTCAGCTAGTCTTTTAGTGCATCCCCAAGGACCCCAAAAGTGCTATCTAACTCCAAAACAGTATTGATCTTAGCCTTGCCTCATCTCGTTTTTCTTCAACCTACAGTGCTTGCATGCACACCTAATCTGTGGCGTGTTTCAGGAACTGGAACTCAGCTCTGTGCTGTATTAAAAAAAGTAACTAGATGCACAATGACTTTATTGTTATGTAGCTTTATGCTCAAGTAAAATGTCCCTTTTTTATATGTTTGTTTCATATGCTTTCTGTGGTTTTATGTATGTATATGGGTCTTTGTGCTCTCCTGTGTACAACTTTGATTTGCTCATGGATCTTTTGAACACACATTTATGTTTGAAAGACATTAGGATGTGTAATTACAAGGTAGAGAATCTCATAAACTGTCTGCTGCTGCAACCCGCATCCAGATTTGTGCCGTTTAATAGTCTTTTGTCATGGTTGCTTTGTCAAGTCATTATGTCCTTGCAGGCAATTTGCAGCGGTGGTGACAACGTCTCATGTCCACCTCCTGTTCTCTAGGACAGCCTAATAAGGGAAATCCCTCTGAGCTAAAGCTAAATCTATAAAGAACCAGATTCGGTGGGAAAAAGTCACGTCCAGCTCTGTGCGCAAGGACAAATACTCAGCATGGTTTCAGCACTGTCCTCTTATAAAGATTTTCTGTTGTTTCATGACGTAGTGTGTTTCACAGGCCTTATCTGAGAGAGTTTTAAGTGTTGCCTGCAGCCTATATGCTGGGTGTGTGACACAAACTCGGGATTGAGATGAATGTAGGACAGGAAGTTGCCTGACAGCGAGCAGATCGCTCAAGTGGAGGGCTGGAAAAGGCCTACAGCTGTCCTTGACCTGTCATGAGGCGATATCAAACATCAAATCAGATATCATCGTGCCTGTTTCCTCTGGTAAAAGCTGCAAGACCGCGTGTGAAACTCACTCAGACATCATCATCACTCACAGCAAAGGATATGAGGTGTAAACAGTTGTTAAATGGCACCATAGACGCTTTGAGGCACTGTCTGTGTTGGTGAACACTTACAGACGTCACGTTAACAGGAAGGTTGTACTTTGTATATTTCTGATAACCAGCACTAGTGTAGAGAAAAGGGATTAGACTTGGAGAGCGAGCTAAGCTGCAGCTACAAGAAACAGTCCAAACATCGCAAGATAACACACAGGTTGCAGGAAGAAGTAAGTCAAGCAAATATGGTTGCTGCTGTTCAGACGTGAGGCGACAGAGAGTATAGAGATGAGGGGTTACAGCAGCCAGACCTGAGCAAACAGATTTTGCCATCTGAATATGTTTATATGATGTTGTAATAATTCATTTGTCTACTTCATGTTTCCTTTTTTTCCTGTTTGTGTCAACACAATGAAAATAGAGCTCGAAAGTAAGTCTTCGCCTCATACGTAGATACAGACCTGTTGTGTGCATGCTAACGAGAGCTTGTCCTTGAACCCAATAATGTGACTAAAAAAATTACACTCCTTCATTTGATAAGTGAAATTCATGCCGCAAAAAAATGTTGTTTGCAATGACTGAATTGTTTCACATGACACAATCTTAATTTTGCCAGATAAATTCATTTAAGGTGCTACAAAGGTTTTTTTTGTTTGTTTTTTTATTAGATGACTGTTCAACTGAGTAGCCTGTCAATTTTATAAAACACACCACAGTCTCACATTCAATCTTCAGCATTTTGTGTTGCAATCACAGCTTTAAATAACCAGCACAAACAACCTTTAGACGTTATTATTCAGTGGACCAATGCTGCACATTGTGAACACACCTACAAATGCATATTAAGTGAATTTCAATTATCGGTGATGGAGGGTGTTTTTCTTTCCATTTCTGCATGGATGTGATGAGAATTTGATCTTTAATCAGAAAGCCACTGATTAAACTCCAATCAACTGTGCTTTCACTTACCGAAGGATGACGACTAGAGCTCTACAGGAGGCAGACCCGCAGTAACACAAGTATAATATTTATGATATCCCTCAAGTCATGTTATACAACCTAGAAAGTCATGCTCATACAGATCAGGGCTCAGGGTCATCTTTCGGCGTGTGGAACCATTGTTACGCCTGTTACTACATCTGCAGCCACATTTCCTCCATTTCTCTGTTGGATGACACTTTAGCAAAGACACTGATCCGGTATTATCATGGCTGGTAAACAGTATCATAAGAAGGACATTGAGCTGTCATGCATCTCTGCCCTAACAGGAATAAGCAAAATTAGCGATAGACACAGCTGAAACACTCCTGAGGTTATCTGTTTGGTGCATTTTACCACACCACAGGCAAGATGTTGCAGTATGTGTTAGGCCACAACAGCTGTTCAGTCAAGCGTCTCAGTCGGTACAGCTTCCCTGTGGGAACGCTGTCCCTTCCCAACCACAAGGTTGAAGTGGGAATCATAGCGAGACACAGGAGAGTGAGTGCTTGTTAGCTCAGAGATCAGTGGATTGGAGAAACGGGAAAGTGACCTGAGAGGAAGGTCGGGGTAAAGCCTCCGAGCAATCCTGTTTGTGCCCGAGAGGCTGCAAACTGTGACTGACGGCATGAAGCTGTCAGCAGGGACAGGAATAAAGAAAAAAGAAAAGGGCTGCAGAATGTTCACCCTGTCCATTACACCCGAAGAAAAATTAGCATTTCTTTCCACAATGAGGTAAACGGAGGTCATGACAAAAGAAAGCAAGTCGGGAGGGTAAAAAATATGGCACAGCACTAACTGAGATTGCCTTAACAGATTTAGTGGGGTATTGAAAAGCTTAGCGTAGCCGTTTTCCCCTGATGAATAGCAAGCAGATTTAGAGTGCCCATTCAAAAGCAGAGCTGCCCATGAGGAGTGATTGACTGAGGGAAAGAGACACATAGACTATAAAAGACAGGGCATGTACGCTTCCTTGTCCTGACCTCAAGCTGCCCTCCGCTTCGACCTCATTTGACAGCTATTGGTCATCCAACTGTGAAATGTATATTTCTAACAGGTCTTACATCAAGTGCAAAACCATTTGACATTGGATATCTATTATCTTTCATCATTTCAGATAGACTACTTCCTTCTTTTTTTCTTTCATTCGATCACTTGAATAAGAAAAGTGCTGTTTTACAATAGTATTCTGCACTTGTCTTTAGAGTCTGCTCTGTATGAAGCATTTCGGTCCTCAGCTGTCAGGACATCTTTCCTTGCCTGTAGTTTTCTGTAGTGACTCCTGTGGCACCCTCTGTTGGTCTAACCTGTCATCTTCGCTCCACATCTGCCTGTCTTCAGGAAACAGAGAAATGATCCTGCATTGCATGAGAATGGGTGTATCTCGGCTAATTAGCAGACTCCCCAAGGGCCCCTGAAATCCCTTCTCGATCTTCATCACATACACAACCTAATGATCACCTCACACTGCATTCATGGCTCAGTTAGTTATAGTTTTTATTATTATGATTTTTTTTTTTTTTTTTTTTTTTTTTTTTTAATCAAAACCTAAAATATTGGCAAACTTGCCATCTTGATATCAATCTGTTATTGTGCCCAGTGTAATTTAGCATGCGTGGGTGAGTCAGGGCAAAAAAAACCCTCTTTAATATCCTGAGACCACGTGTGGTCGACACTCTACAATACTGCACAGTTGCTGTTTTTGAGCCCCCTGAGAGAATGAGTAAAACAGGCTGTAGGAGCTTAATTAAACAGGAGATGTGAATTATTTAAGCATGTTGTATGGAGTAGGTAAGTTATTTTATGCAGACTTCTGGTTGCTAAAAAAAAGTGGGCCATATCGCAGGTCATTTAATCTCACAATTTAACTGTCACTGGGAAAATAATGTCCTTTATGAATTCTTAGAACAAGCTTTAATCAACAAACAAATTGTGAAGACTTCTCTCATTTCTGATGTCATGTTTTTTTAATGTTTATACTGGAAAGTCTCTGAAGGAAAACACTTTATAGAGAACAGTGTTTGTTATCTGTGGGTTTTTAAGTGATAAAAGAAATTCATAGAACTACAAAAAAAAAAGAAAAGTTGGTTTAACCAGAAGGAGAACTTTAAAAGGTACAAGAGTTCCTTGTTACTTTAGTATGGTTGTATGTATTGGTTGGTAGGATGTAGAGCTGGTCTCATTCTCCTCAGTGGCAGCTCCCCCCTCCCCCCTCCGTGGTCTCCTTTCCACTTGCATGCAGCTCAACCAAACAGACTGACCCTTGCAATCCCTGCATTCTCTACACACATCTTGTGCATGAGGAGTGTTCTTCATGTGTATGCCTTTGTGTGCGCACAAATTTAAAAATGATTTGAAAAAAAAAAAAAACTTCTGATAGCGTTAATTTATTGGGTTCTGAATGGTCTTGTGTTCAGATTGAGAAGTGTTAAAATGGAGCAACGCAAGCTGAATGACCAAGCAAACTCACTAGTGGACCTTGCTAAGGTAAGCTAGACTAACAGTCTACTGCTGCATTGTACATTAGGATAGACAACTATCCTCATAAGCTTCATTCCTTTGTGTGATTGAATTCAATGCATGCTGGTTCACTCGCTGAATTAGTTGTGTTTTCTAATACAATCAAAGTCTACAGGTGTCAAATAAACAGACAGGCTTTTCAAAAGGTGATTAAAAATAAATCTGTGTGATAATTCTGGTTCACCTAAGCTTTGGATCCTTTGGGTATGAAATAATAACTTAATAAATTTTCTTTTACAGTTCAAATTACTATCCCCAGGACATGTTCGCCTGAAAATTACTAACAAGACTCACTTTTGTCTATGCAAAAACCAAATGCAGTTTTTCACTTAATGCATTCTCTAATATTTGTCTCCAGATCCACTAAACAGAAGTTGACAAACCTTAGGGAAAGACCAGGCAGAACGCCAGCCTGACACAGCAGAAAGAGTAACCTGGGAAGGGAGACACACTGTGATCTGATGATTCAGCCAGAAGTAAAGGCAGAGAAAGAAAGGAGAAGAAGGCAGAGGGCTTTGACATTCAAAAGTACACCACAGTCAAACTGGATTCAGGCCAGCGTGCCATGAAAGGTATTAGTTAATATTGCCCAATCACCTCCTGCTGTAAAACAGTAGCAAGAGCCAGGATGTGACATTGGATAAGGTGGCTTGTAGCCAGTGCCACTCAGCAGCCTCTTTAATCATTGTTATAAGAGTCTGACGCCATGAGAGGGCAGTGTAGCTCTTCGTGCTCTCAGTGGAAAGATGGAGCTAAATAGAGCTGAACATATCACTGGCAGCTGCATTGCCTCTGCAGTGCAATGTGAAATTCCTCAGATCACAGTTTTTCCCCTTAACTCATTATCTCCTTTACAGTCTAATATAAAATGTGGTTTCTCATTTAATGTGATTTTAAATGATGCAGTTTTTTCCCCACAGCATCTTCTTCACTTTTGCCGTTCAGGCTGAATTACATGTCCTCAAATTGCAAAATTGCTCACTCAAGCTGCTGTTTGTAACAATCTCTGCACTCTCCTCTCTCTTTTTCTCCCCTTCTCTTGTCCACAAATAGGTTAATAGTGTCTGGTGTTGACAGGGGTTGAAGTGGATCTATAATAACCGCATATATTCTTGCTCCATCAGTAACATCCTCTGTTCATGATATTTGTTTCCTCGTGGTGTAGTAGGCCTCTTTTCTTGCTCTCTAACATTTTATGCCATCACTATTTATTGTGTTCATGTTTCATTTCATGATTTACAGATGAAGCCTAGACTTGGTTTAGTTCAGTTCTGCATGTAGACCCGTGCCTAGCTGCAATGAAATTTTCCGTCAGAGGAAGAATAACATGTGTATAAGATAATATATAATACATGAACAGTTTAAATGCTGAATTTCATTTCTAATCCACAGAAAAATCTTCACAGAAATTAAGTATTAGATTAGTGTTGATGTAAGTAATACAACACAGTGAAAGCCTTGTTTCCACTAGCTGTCAGGCTGAGCAACGTCAGTACTACTTTAGTCCTCACTGATTCACATAAACAACCTATCCCATTATTGCTGCCTCAAATCAGAAGAGGACAAGGTAAGTGATGGATGGTATCGCCTCTAGGCTGCCAGGGATTATTAGTCCTCTGCTGAATAATACCTTAGAAACCGCCCTCCAGCAGCAACACTCCTTCTCTTTACCCAAGAAGTGACACAGATTCAGCATGTGTTGACTATTTTTTAACACTGAACCTCGGGATTAAAAAAAAAAAAAATAGTAGCTACACTGTATTTGTAAAAGGTCTGTGAACAGATGGTTGATGCATCAAAAGAGCAAAAAGCTTCATGCAAAGTCAGCAGGCACCTTTTCTGTCTCCTCAAGGTCATAGACTAATGTACTCTGGCATGAACATGAACTCTCGTAAAGTGTTCATATAAAGTCAGCCCTTCTTTAGCTAGCAGGAAATGTGCTGGTTCTCAAGGTTGTAGCTACTGAGCATAAAAATAACTTAACCTGATGATCCTCTGTTCTTATTTTAAATGTGGGATTGACTTTTCTGCTTTCAACCTCTGATCACCCAAAAGTAGAGGACAATGGGACAGTCTGCTGGGAAACTGCAGCCACCAAAATAGATAGACAGTACTATAATAGACGCATTTACCTTGACTTGTAAAATTTGATTCCTCAGGTTGGCTGGGTTTTCATGTTGATAACTTGAGGTTTATTTTTCAGCTCTGTCTTTAATCAATACCCATTTGCCTATATGTAAATTGTAAGGGCTCTTGTTTGCTGTTATTATTTCTCCTGTTCCTACTGGGGCATGATGACATGCCCTCTTAGAGCTATTTCAATATACAGTACGTGATGAGGGACAAAAGCCCCAGTCCTTAAATGCAAAAATGCAATTAAAAGTTCATTCAAACTTAATATGAGGTCTCAACACTCTGGATTAGTTAAATATCCCGGATATCCACCATAGCTTTTTTTTTAGTACAAAATTCTGTTTTTATTTCACTTGCCCTATGTTTCGGCATAGCAAGAAAATACAGGTCACCGAAGACCAAAGACGATATTTTACTAAAAACACAGTAACTCTGGAGGAAATTATAAGTTCTGTAGAGATCGTCACTCCCACTAGATGTTGCACGAGACCACCAACAACTCAGACCAAAACAAACACTTCGTCAGCCACAACCCTCCCTCCTTTCACGTTCTCATTCAGCCAGGTGATACAAAGCCCAGTGAAAGTGGACACTAAACACACAACAGGAGGCACAACTGAATACAGTTACCCTGTGTACACGAGAGACAACAAAAACAAGCCAGCCACAATAATTAGCCCACATTGACATTGCCGTGATATGCTCCATAATAATGCTAGCAGCAAGCCAGCTAGCAACACCAACATTTGCCAAACGAATTCATAATACTTGTTACAGCAAGTTAGCTCATGTTATCATAGCTTCTGTAGCTGGTCATGACTGAAAATAGACATGTAACATTAAGTAGCCATAAAGTTACTTACACATCGACGAGAAGAAGGGCCAGTTCCGAGTCTAGTTGGAGCCTTTAGCAGCTAGTGAGTCTAGTTGGAGCCTTTAGCAGCTAGTAGGGGTCTCAATCTTGGTACAGCCATATCGGTATTCCTCCACAGTTGGACTGGGAAAGAAGTTCAGCCTTGGACTTATACTGGAACCGTCCATACGAATGAGGAGCCGGTAAAGATACTAACTAAGCAGGTAAAAACTTTAAAACTTTATGGATGTTTTGAAGGTCCACCAGCTGACCAAGATTTGAGCTGGTAGGTCCCATGTGCTCTGGTCTTATCTCTTTCTTTGTTGGAGGCCCTTTTAGCTGAAAAAGTGGTTCCTGCAGTGGAGGAAACTCTGGAAGATGCTTTCACCTGAATGCTGAGTACTGTAGTGCCATCTAACCTGTGGGCGGTCCCTGTGTATTTGTAAAGGTGGGGAGTGACTGTGGGCTAATAGTTTAACTGGAGGGACTACATGCACTAACACGCACGCGCCATTCCACATACCAAAACCAAGAACAGAGAAACTCAGATTATAAAACACACCGAGGGGATGTGACTTCATTCTCTGCTCAGGGCGCCATTACTCCAGTATATTTTTTACATAGAAAATTAATTGCTGCTGAATTATTGTTTAAAATCTTGTTTACAGAACCTTTACCATGATTTGTCAAACTGAGATTGATATTGATTATTTTCATTTTAACTTTACTGTGCATTTTACACAGTGACTGTGGATTTTGTTCCCCATCACTCACACTGAAATTGCTTCAGGAATTTAAATCTCAAGGCAACAACTGCAATGACCAATAATGCTTGAAATTAAAAAAAAACAAAAAAAAAAAGTAGGCTATTGAAAAGATATGAATGTATCCATTAATAATTTTTCTGTCAGACAATGAAAAGTTGTTAATGGACTCTCTAAACATTTACATTTTTCTGCAGTCTGAACGGGATATGTTGAGGAGTGAATCTTTTAATGTGAAGCTTCCTTTCCTCTTCTTTTCAGAATAATCTGATAACTCGCTTTCAGCTGTGCATGTACTGACGTATTGAAGAAGCTTGTGTTTTTATCTGTAAACTGTTTGCTAATACTGAACACATATAGCATTTTCAGGTTGTCCATAAAAAATAACAACAAATTGGAAAATGATCATGTTAAGTGTGTCTCCTCTCCCTTGTTCCAGACTCAGAACATCATGTATGACATGATATCGGACTTGAATGAGAGAGGAGAGGACATGGAGAAGAGGATTGCCTTGCTGGAGACAAAGCTGGAGACTCTACTGAGTAACTTGCAGGCTCTGCCAGGACTCATCAGCCAGGTCATCAGCCAGCAGCACAGGGACTTCCTGGAGGTTCAGCTCCAGCCTTATGACAAACACAGCCCTGAGCGCTCACAGTCAGTGTCCCGACGGAGGTCGTCCTCCACAGCACCACCCACCTCCTCCGAGAGCAGCTAGAGTCCAAGGGGAATGCCTCCACTGAAGACTTTTGCCATCATATGGCCAAGTTGCATTTATCGTAAAGCCTTATGGTTTCAATAAGTATTATCCAAATTCTGATGACAGAATCCAAGATACTGGGGACAATGCATTTTAATGGATAACTTCATGCTGTTATTTGTTTTTTATTACCTCAAAAGATGTTGTTATCCTTGCTCTGGTGACAAGACCTCAAATAATGGCGCTTCCCTCAGTAAAAACTAAAAGGCCTATCGATGGGGCTATGATAAGAACTCTACTCCATCTCTATGCAGAGGTAGCCAGTTTTAGGTGGCAAGGTTACCAAGTGTGAAACTATTGCACTAAAATAGTGCTTCTCACAGACTTTGTGCTTCTGCGGGCTTGATTCAGTTGCCGTGTTCCTCAAAGCAAACTGAGAAACCACTGAGAAATCAGTCAGGGAGAATGACAGTGATATTGAGGAAAAGTGCTGTGTTTGATGGCCTGGAGTGAACTGATAGCAGAAGGCAGATGAAAATCACTCCTACACACTGTCACTCAGAGATAACTTAAAAAGCTTGAAATGAGGAAAAAAAAGCATATATCTTTTAGGTTAGAAACAGCATCAACTATAGTGGTTTTCTTTTTGCAGAGTGCCCCTGTAGAATGACTATTTTTGGGGCGACGTTGCAAATAATTTAATCCTCTAGTCAAAATGAATGCATTAAAATCTGTACTTGCACTTACTTTTTAATCAATGCACTTCAATGCTGACTGACATATGATATAAAGATGCGTTGCTCATTAAAAGAAGAACATTTGAGATGTTTGGGCATGGGTTTATTATTGTCAGTTCTCAAGTTGTGGCCAGTGTTGATGAATCAAGTCAAAGCCCTTTTTCTGTTTTTCACAAAGAAGCATTAACTTAGACCTGCAGAGGTCTACAGAAATGTACTGAGTGATCACAAAATCAGTAATTAGCCCTTGTCTTGCTGTGTCTCACCTCCTGTCCTTCGTTCCTGTGCTATTTATGCTTGCTGTCATCTCAGCTGGGCAACAACAAATGCTGAACAACAACTCGCAGAAACCGTATCTACCTTTTAAAAAGAAAATGCCTATTTTTATATATTTTGATGAGGACAAGCACACCTCCTACAACGAAACAAACAACAATGGGGACATAAGAAACGACAGATTCAGCATATCTAGCATATGGTTTTTCTCGGACTGGAGTTAAGATACATACTACATACATAGTCTGTTATGTTCTTTCCTGATCTTGGTTGTACACAGATTTTAAAATTGCATTTTTCTTCAGAATGCATTTATTTTTTAAAGCAAATGCTTTAGATGACTCTGAGGGCTGAGCTGGAAGAGTAGAACTGGTAAATCTACCTATAGTGACTGGCATTTATTAGGGTTAAAAGGTTTTGATGTCAGAAAGCAAATTAAAATGTTTCAATTTGATTGAAATATCCTTCTTGGCCTTTCACACAGTGTGTCTATATATCAACTGTGTGAAAAGCCTTGATGTGGCCAATAAACCCTCTGGACAGTAATATTCCCCATATGAACATACAGTAGTTGTTAATGCAACCTTTTCAACATTCACAGAGCATAGCATGGGTGAGAGAAGATCTGGTGGTCACTCATCAATACAGCAGCAATGGACTTGTTCAACCAGCCAACCCACCAACCAATAAGTCAATCAGAAGGTCAACACAATGACAGATGTTCAGTCCACCAACTTCAGCAACGTAGAAACCAATGAGAGATTATACTGTATGCGACTTAAACAATAAACAATTAAACTATAAAAATATACAATTTGATTGTGTCCTTTTTTCATTGTATATAAATTTGTATTAAATAGGACAAGTTAAAATGTGTGTGTTTGTGTGTTCCTGCATAAACAGACAGTTACATCAACATATAACTATAATTTGTGGTCCAAATCACTTTCAGATTTAATTGAGTTAATTTAATGTGGTAACTTCTTTTGATTTCTCACTGATCAACCACTGAATGGAGTCAAATTAAAAGAATGCTCCTCTAATATGTATCATCTGGGCAAATTTTGCCCCAAACAGTAACTTTAAGGCATTCTAATGTAGGCTGTAAATGGCTGACCATGTACCATTTGACATCTAGACTCATTTGCCAGTTTACTGAAGGCACACCTGGCTAAAACAGCCCTCCAATAAATCATCCTTCATTAAGGTTATAATGTTCAGAAATTGCTTTAGCCAGGTGTTGATTTAATGTAATAGAGACTGTAATTGTGGTGCTGTTCAATTGTAACGCATTATACTGAGAGGTGTTATTAATGTTTAGTCAACCCTCATCAGTAGTAGAATAAGTATTCTAGTTATATACCTCCACAACATTATTAATGAATTCTCCAAAAGAAGTAAAAGTTGTGCATTGAAAAACCTACTTATGTAAATGTACAGAAGCACCATCAGCAAAAATACAAGTATCAAAAGTAAAAATACTTGCAGAAGAATGGTCCCTGTGACTATAGCTGTAACTAGACCAGCTGCAGAAATAAAATGTTGCTTATCCATTGATAACAATCTTATAATGGGACATATTTGTATAAATATATCTATTTATATGACATTATTATGCTGTTACCAATGCATTTTAGGCATTTTATTGTTACACCACAGAAGTGTAGTCCAGTGGTGGTCAGGCCCCTCCAAAGGATCACATGATAAATCTGTGGGTTTATGAGATGATTACTATTATACACTGTAGCCCATAAAGTTGGAATAATTTTGTTTTCAGACACAATCCTATTTATTCCTATTTAAATGCATCAGTAATCACTTTGGAAGAGATTGACTACTAAAGTTTTGAGAAGATATAGACTTTATCTGTCAAGGATAAATCACATTGTCACAATGATTCCATGGAAAGAGGAAAAAAATATTTTATTCCAACTTTATGAGCAAGACAAATGTCAATCTATGTTTCATTGTAATGGTAATGAATTATTGAATCTTGAATGATGGGGTAGGAAAGTTCTTGGAAGTCAAACAGTTATTCAAATGAAACTGTTGGAAAAGTTCAGAGTGGACATGTTTCTTTCTTCACAACAGTTAACAATTCAAAGACATCTAAATTCTGAGGTGTGCTCTTTTGTATAGCCGCAAGCCAAAAAAGGTCGGGAGCCATTGGTTCAACCTTTAACAATGCACTATTAAACTTACTTATGTTTTTCAAGTGAAATCTTAATTTAAACATTAAAAAACTAGTGATTGTGGCTGTCAAATAAATGTTGTGGAGTAAGACGTACAATATTTGTTTTTTGCAAGTAAATTGCAAGTAAATGTACTTCGTTACTTTCCACCTCTGACCTTCATTGATGTAAAAGAAGTGTGCAAAATATGTAATCAATATAATGCAATACAATCCAACCGTATGCAACCAAACTAAAAGTTGGATAAACCAACTCCGATTATATGATTTTTTTGTGTTCAGGCTGATACCTTTAAGTCCTGCGAGTCAGCGCACAGGGCATTGTGCTCTGCAGTACCATTATGTCCTCGCGAGATTACCCGCGAAGCAGCGTACAGTGGCACTTGCGTGGTGTAGACCTGTGTGCATGCTAAACAAAATCTAACTTTGCCAACTCCCATGTAAAATCTTTCCAACTTGTTTCGTAGCGTTGATTGTACTAAAGAATCGCCGTCACCATGAGTATACTCGCCAAAATAGCAGAGATTGAAAATGAGGTAAGGCAAAAAAGTAGATAGCAAGGTAACCCAATGAATCTGTCACGTTTTAGCTAACGGCTAGCTGTTAACGTTAGCAAATAATTAGCCTAGCTCCCACAGCTGGGCCTCACATTATACACATTATTTTACGTCTACAGTTCTTTAACAAGTTTCAACGTTTATCGAAAAATGCTCATTCAATTTGTAGCTATAGTATGAATCAAATAAGTTAAGCTAGAGGATGTTGCTAACCTCCGGGTGTTAAGCATAGATATTGTTTGACAGGCTGGCAACCAAACTAACGTTAGAAAGCGCGTATACATCTGTTTCCAATAGCCAATAACCAAAATTTGTGGAATATGAAAGAGACAACATTTTTATTTGGTTGCTATTCGTCAGTGCGTGCTAGGGGCTACAAAGATGGTATTTGAAAATGAAAATGCAGTGTAAAGTGCTTAGTTAGAGAGGAAAAAAGTAGCCTTATAATTTAGATTATTTTAGACGCTTGAGCAGAGATATTACAGGACCGAGTATGAACTTAACTATCACCCTTTCAGGGTTAGCAATAATCCTTCACAAGATAACTTCTGAAACTGAGAGGACAGTTAAAGGAAAATACTCCTAATCAGTTTCAACACAAGTCATTATTTACCTCAGTTAATCAATCCTAGATTTGAGGACGAATAAAACCCTGCAGAGCTCCTTGTGACAGTCCTCAGTGTTATTCAATACTGACATCTTTACTGTTATTTTCAAATGCGATTCAATAATCAGTACATGTCATGTCATTATAGCATGCCACGTCTTCTTTTGTGATTATTAGTAGCAATAAGAAAACTTACGACAGCATGTGATTTTTTTTAAGGAGGCAGTTTTGTGGATGCAAGTGTATGAAACACTATGTTTCAGGCTGAAACAGTTTGTTGATTGACTGAAAATGAATAAATTATTTTGACCATTAAGTCATTTTTCAAGCAAATAACATCTTACATACACTCCTTTTTCTATCTTATGTGACAGTAAACTGAATAGCTTTTGTTTTGGACTGTTGGTCAAACATTTTGAGATGTCACACTGGGCTTTTAGGAATTGTAAATGTGAGATATTTAGATATTTCAATATATTCTGATACCCTATAGACCAAATGATAAACTGATTAATTATGAAAATAATCAACAGATTAAAAATAATCATTAGTCGCCTTATTATAATGGGGTTTTTGCTATAAAGAATACACCATTCTTTATACTCACTCACTCTGATTCAAAGTCATGGTGGGCATAAGCCTGTCGTAGC